CACACACATACACACACACATACACACACACATACACACACATACACACACACATAAACACACACACATACACACACATACACACACACATACACACACACATACACACACACATACACACACACATACACACACATACACACACACACATACACACACATACACACACACACACATACACACACATACACACACACATACACACACATACACACACATACACACATACACACACACACACATACACACACACACATACACACACACACACACACATACACACACACTTCCACGACGCCTCATTACTGTTGATTTTCTGCTGCTTGTGTGTGTGTGTGTGTGTGTGCGTGTGTGTGCGTGTGTGTGTGTATGTGTGTGTGAACGTTACAAGTATCTGACCGGGCCTGACACCGGGCCTGACACTGTGTGTTTTCAGGTTCGACGGTCGACCCGTGAGTGCGGAGGAGAAGGAGCGGTTCGGGGAGCACGCCGGCGCCGTGACCCTGGCCATGGTGCTGCAACATGGCTCGGTGGCGTCCCGGGGGAATGGCAGTCTGGCGGGTGGGTGGGCGGGTGGGGTGATAGGGTACTGGTACTGGTGCTGTTGCTGCTGGGTGCTGCCGCTGGCGGGCCCCAGTGCAGCCCAATGGAAGCATTGCTTTCTGTCTCCTTGCCCCCGCACCCCCCCCCCGCACCCCGCCCTCCTCCACCGCCCCGCTTCCCCTCATCATCTGCTCTCGTTCCCATCCCCATACCCCTCGCCATACCTCCTCCCCCCCTTTACCTCTACTAACCCTTCCTCCGGGCCCCCAACCACCTCGCCCAGACGCCGCCCGCCCCAGCAACCCGGGCTCCATCACAGACATCTCCCTGGAGCGGATGCACATCCGCCGACTGCAGCAGCTGGCGGCGCTCACATCGCTGAAGAGAGCCAGGTGGGGGGTTTGTCCGGGTGGGCGGTAGTGGGTGGGGAGTTAAGGGCCCTATGCCCCTTTCCTTTTGCCCCGCTTCCTCTCGTCCCCTTCCCCTTCCTGGAGCCTTCCCGCGCGTGCCTCCTTACCAGCTTCACCATCTCTTCGCCCGTTCCCGCCCACAAACTCCCTGCCAGACACGCATACATACATACATACACAAATACACACATACACACGCTGCCCTCAGCTCCTTTTACCCCCGTGGGGCCCGTTTGGGTTTGCCTCGTCCCCGTCCTCCCCCCTTCAGCCTGGCCGACAACGAGATCAGCAGTTTGGAGGGCATCGAGGGGTGTCGGGCGCTGGAGGAGCTGAGCCTGGAGGCTAACCGCGTGAGCAGCCTGGTGGGGCTGGGGGGTCTCACGAGGATCAGGAAGCTGCAGCTGGGGCAGAACAGGTGCGGTGGGGGGCCCGGGGGGGGGGGGAAGGCGGGGAGCTTAGGGGGGGTCCCCGGGTTAGAGGGAGTGTGTGTGTATGTGTATGTGTGTGTAAGCCATCCTCCTCTCTCTCCCCGCTCTCCCAAACATACACCCCGCGTACAGACCGCCCGCATTCACCGCCTTGCGCTGATACTCCCCTCCTCCTCTTCCTCCTCCTTCCTTACTTCCTCCCCTCCCCCCCCTCTCCCCTTATGCGCAGACTGGCCTCCCTGGACGCCCTGACCGGTCTGACGGGCCTTATCCAGCTCAGTGTGGAGGACAACGAGCTGGCGACACTGGCGGGCGCGGAGAAACTCACCAACCTGCTGGAGCTGTACGCAGGTAGGTGGGTGGGTGGGTGGGTGGGGTGAACGGAGGGGTCAGGGTACTGGGCGTGAGGTGGCGTGAGATGTAACTTGGTTGACGAGGTTTCGCCGGGAAACAAGGTGCACGTTTTGGGTGGGTTTGGGGATGTTTCTCGGGATGACCGTGTGTTTGTGTGTGTTTGTGTGTGTATGTGTGTATGCGTCTCAGTGCTCGGGGCGGGTGTTGGTCATGGTGCTGCCTTATGGCCGATGCTCCTATCACTTACGAGGGGGTGCTGTCCCTTTCACCGTCATGTCGTTATGGGGGGTATCCTGTTTAGGCAACAACCGTGTTTCGGAGCTGCGGGAGGTGCAGAGGCTGCGGGACATGCCCAAACTCATCATCCTGGACCTGGCGGGGAATCCGCTGGCGGGAAGCCTGGCATCAGCCGCCGCGGCGGCGGCAGCAGCAGCCGCCGCCA